GGCTCACGCAGGAATGAATGAATGGCTGGGCGCTGCCTCTTGATTTATACTTCAAAAACTCGTTGGTCTGCCCTTTGCCATCGGCCCTTGGTGCTTACAGTCCCCCTGTGGTACTTGCTGGACCGGACTGGGACTGACTGGACCTTCCGTTGACTGACTGTGGACTCACCGCTATCCTACCGCCGTTGCACTGCTGTTGCACTGCGGTTTAGTCCACCACTTGCCTCACCACTTGCCTCACCACTTGCCTCACCACTTGACCACTTGCCCACTTGCCTACCTTCTAGAAGGTCTACAGCTAAGCTTCCAGAACTCACTAAGACTCCTACGCTATAGACCTACAGATCGAACCCCTGAAGGTCTACAGCTAAGCTTCCAGAACTCACTAAGACTCCTACGCTATAGACCTACAGATCGAACCCCTGCTGTCTATGGACCTACGACAGGTCTACCAACTGCCTACGAATACACAGGTCRCAGGTTCAATTCTCGGGGTCTACACATATACTGTACATGGGTAGGGTGAGGTCTAGGGATCGAACCCTGGGTACTTCATCCGCTACTGCTAAATGGTGAAAACCGTTTCAGTAGCATTGCTTTTGTCATTTCTGAATGTTGGAATTGGGTGTTATCAAGTCTGCCATGGGGCGGGATGGCATGCTGCCGCCAGGGAGACGCAGGGTGATGAACTTTATAGGCAGCGTCGCATGCCATATGACCTCTGGTAAACGTGACGGCGATGATTGGGGGAGCAGTTCTCCCTCTTGCTGCCTAGTTGATGAAAATGGCGACAACTGCTTATCGTGGTACACGGAGCTACCGGAAGATGATGTAAAATATAATATATTTAAGAGGAAGAGCTCTTGCATTGGACGCCAGCTCAATTGTTTGAGAGGGCATAAGATGAGATTGTAAGTGTGCAGCGGAAGTAATGGTCTTCCCCGAAACATAATGTTCTATCTTCCCCTTCTTCTTTTTCGTTTTTTGAAATCTGAAGTCATTTTCTTTTTAGCAATCCTCGAAGTTAATTTTTGAGATTTATCATAGCACGACGGACCATCGTCATGAATGTAGAGAAGCTCAATTTCTGGCCCGTTGCAGTCACAACGAGGGTCCGTTGTTTTTTCTGGGATCGTCTTGTAGTGGATGGGCGAAGCACGGTTTCAACTAGGTAGATTACGGATCGAGGAGGGGAGAATGCAGTGGAAGCGATAACAAGTGGAGGGGCCCTAGTTTGGCCAAGATTGAAGCAACGGGGGAATCACAGTATGGCGAGCTGTGGATTCAGATCCTGTGCTTGCGGAATGATGTCTGCGGCCTTTTGAAATTTGCAAGTAGTGTCGCGAAGAACATTTTCTTCAGTGGGGGGCGCCGCGGGAGGCGTCAGTGTCGCGGAAGATAAGTGTACTAATGGAAGTGAGAAATGTTTAGTGTGGAATGGATGGAATTGAAGTTATGTTTTAAGGTCATCTGCAAATGTTATGATCAGGGGATGGGTATTGATCATCTCCAAAACTTGAACATTCGCTTCGTAGCAGTTGAAAGCCATGAGACAATAAGGAGGGGTAAAAGTTCCTCCGCACGAGAATTGAAGTCTAACAATGCCGAGGGGTGGAGGGGAAGGGGGAAGGGGGGTTCGGATGAAGGAATAGACAGAGTGCTATATCTGGAATGACTATTGATGGAAGTCGCATTGGGATCAAGGGGGCTATTGGCCAGGTGGAATGGCAAATGTCCAACTGTTATTTTCAGGGGTACGTGCTGATACTTCTTTCCAAGTGAGATGCTTTGGCTCGGTGCAAGCGGATGCATGGTTGAAGTCGTTGCAAATCAGTCCACAAGGGGTTCTCAATGAATTTTGAATTTTGTTAACGACCTTACGGCCGCCCATTGAGAACCCCTTGTGGACTGATTTGCAACGACTTCAACCATGCATCCGCTTGCACCGAACCGAAGCATCTCACTTGGAAAGAAGTATCAGCACGTACCCCTGAAAATAACGACCTTACAGCCGCCCTCGAAACCACATTCTCCAATCTATATTTTTGTGGGAAGCAGCACGTGTTGGATGGGACATGGGCCCTGTGTCCGTCACGAATGTAAATAACCACCCATGGAACCTCCCACGAACAACCTGGAAGTACTGTGGGCCAATGCTGAGCCTCGGCTTGTGCTGGAACCCGAGTCCGGCGTCCCTCCTCTGAGACTTTAATGATGCGGTAAAGGCACAAATAATTGGAGTGGAGATCAGTGTGTCGAGCTCCAGGGAGTTCTTGGCAGCCGGCGTGGTACTCTCTGAAGGTGAGAGTGGAGGTGAGTAGAGTGCCTCCCCTTTGGCTATGGTGTTGGAACGAGGTATGTGGCGCCGTTGTAGCTGTGTGTGTGCTGTGGTTGTACCGTGGCAGAATGGATTGGCGACTATGGCTACGTGGTTGTAAGTGTGTGGTTTGGAAGATTGTGTCGAGGTGATGTCGAGTACTGTACTTCGGGTCTTCTCTTCCATTTCAACTGTGGTACGGGCACCGTAAGGTTTGCGTTGTTTATTGGTTAAACCACCAGCACCTGACCTCTTCAACCCATTAACGCAGTGGCTGAATTGGTGTGCTGCGCAGGTCCATATGCATTTGTTGCCTTAGAGCCTCCTCAGATCGGTCCTAAGACACCCTGTCGAGGTGATGTCGAGTACTGTACTTTGGGTCTTCTCTTCCATTTCAACTGTGGTACTGGCACCGTAATATTTGTGTTATTTATCAGTTAAACTGCCTCATTGCACGCATGTCTATGGTTTTGGAGTTGATCTGCATAAGAAAGCAGGGCTTTTAATGAAGTGCCGGTGCAAGGAATGACGTGACGTGATAACAACGGCGGGAGGAGGAAGTCTGTGGAGCTGAGAGTAGTTGTGACTGTGGTTGCAGCCTCTGTTGTCTTAGCTCTCTGATCAGAAGTGCTCTTGTAAGGGGGGCATATGTGTGGGCCCGTCTCTTTTCGGTTTTGGTCCCTACTGGGCTGTTCGCAGCCCTTAGGCTGTGGTATAGTGGGCTTCCGCGTTTGTGTCAAGGTGTCGCATTTTTGGCCGCGGGCGAGCAGGACGCAAAGTGGGTTCTTAGGGGGTAAAAAAAAATGGCAAAACTGCAGGCTACCTACAGCTAGCTCTGCTAGAACCGGGACTTTTGGAAAAAGGAAG